CAAAGAATTACACAACTGGATACTGCCATAGGAAGGGATAAATAATATTATAACCAAATCAATAGATTTGTGTGAGATGTAATTTTTGATCTCACAATACAATATGTGCATTTTTAACTTTTCTACAAGTTTACCCAAGATCAAGCAATGATAGGAATGCTATTTAACTAATATATAGCATATTATTATTATATTAATAATGATTTTTATTCCTTCTGAAGGCATTATTAAATAATTTATCAAGCAGCCATTCACCAGAAAAACATACTTCATTTAATCTCCAATAGATCAATCTATGCCACAAATGGATAAGTAAGGAACTTTAAAAATAGAAATTAAAATAATATCATTGGAAATATAAATTTCCTTGCTAATCTGTTAAATAATAAATAAAAAATACATAAATTTCAAAATCCATATAATAAAAATAAATAATAATTACAATAGTTCTAATATATTGAAATCAATAGTCACCAAAATAATTTATTTGGAGTTTTATGCTTACATTTGCATACCGAACTACTTTAGTGCTCCATTTTGCAATCCAACAAGTTGTTGCAAAGGCAGTTACGACTAGGTATTGCAATCGTTTTTATATGATGTAAAGGTGGTTGCAACCATCATCAAAGTTGCAGTCAGTATTCTTAAACTACCTTTAAATAAATAAATAATAAAGCCTAAATAAAAGTATATTGTTATCAACAAATTAATTTGCATGAATAAATATAGTAATGGTGATTCTGAATATACTTAATATTAAAATTTGCACCAACATGGCATCAGCTGGCTTTCTAGATATTTGTTTGCAATGTCTTCATACAAGCATAATGGTCTAACATTTATGTTACTAACTGTTAAAAATTAAAAAAAAAGGATTTTAAGCCAATAATTCTTCTATGTATTAAAAAAAAACTAGTGTATAAAGTTACATAGATCCCAGTGGATTCTTAAAATATATATTCAGAAGAATTTATTTTGATTATTATTATTATTATTTTTTTTTAAAAATTTTATTTTTCACAAAGCACAACATGTCATATTAAATCATTTGTAACATATATGAATTGATCAACAAGGGTTCCAATTTTTCTAGATTCGATTTCCAAATTTGGTAAAATACTTGACTGTATTATGTTGAAGATGTAAAAGGATAGCTATCCTTTTTATATTAGTTGAAAAATGATAAACAATTAGTTGGAAAATGATAAACAAGATGAGTAGATGCCATGATTATTTTTGCAACTTGTCTTTTTTCCAAATTCAATTCACCTTTTCAAATTGATTATCATTTTAATGTGCAGTACAAAACAAAAGATGAGCAGCAATATTACTATTATACAATTTAAAATGAAATGATTTATTTTTTCAAATTGAGAATGTGGAAGCAACACAATCAAAAATAACAACTTCTATTACTATGCTTGCATTCAATTCAACTCTTCTCCAAACAACTTATTTTGTTGTTTTTTTCCATTTTAAGCAATATATCATTACTATACTAAGATGATTATTTTTGAATGAAAATGATTTGTTTGTTCAAGTTCATTTAGGAAATGTAATTAAAATATCCTATTATGATAAATAATTCAATTTGTCATTATAAAAATATGTTGTATACAAAGAATGATCTGCATGTATAATCTATAAAAAGTTTGTGTAATAAATTGGTTATACCGAACTGGTTGAATGATTTGGTTTGATTTTTTTTGCAATAAATTGGTTTCGGTGAACCGAAACCAAACCAAACTGCCCCATCCCTATCCATCATGTCACTAAATTTATTATTTGATGATCAGCAAGCATCACAAACACCTATTTGATTGACTAAATTGTCAATTCGTCAGCCATTCTTAATTGTTACACTACTGAATTTGAACACATTTAGATTATTCGGATTAATATAATACCTAATAAGTCAGACACAACAGTCAACTGTTTAAAAGTACTTGATAAACAAATGACCAACTTATCGAGTTTACATACATGTGCATTAATTATAAATATTTACATTATTTATTCTTCCCTTTTTTATGTTATGGTTTTTCATGTTATTTATTACTTGAAAATATTAATGCAGGAGCTAAAAATAGAATTATTTATAAAAAAAAAGCAGTGGAAGTTGTTTATTTTTATTTGCTATTTTATTCATTTATGTAGAGATAAAGTAAATAATAGTAATATGACCTCAATTAAGTTGACAATAGCACATAACATTTATTATTCAATAATTTGTTATGATGATTGTTCAATGACTATCTATAATAATAATAATGATAGGTAAAGGAGAGTATCATCAAATGTTTGTTGACATGATAATGCAACAGCAATATTAATATTAATGGTGGCATGCTGGAAACTACAGGAATGGTGATGATAATAATAATTTGAATGGCAAGAAGATGATAAAAGTCAAGTTAAACCAAAAAAATCAATCAAATAAAATTTAAGTTCAAATTTAAATTTAGATATAAAAAATCAATTAAATTATTGTATAATGTCTTTATTACTTTATTTGCTTTTATTCATCTGTCAACAATAACAATAATAACAGTGATTTATTTCTCTTTCTCTATCATCAATTATTAAAATTTAGTCATTTTTATGCATTGTATTACAGTGGGAGTCCTTTAATTGGAAAATTGATTCCTAGTGGCTTTTTTTATTTTTGGCTTTTTTAAATAAATGATGAAAGAATGTGTGTACTATGCATAGATTGTAAGGCTCTATACTGAATTTTTGAACTTCGAATTTTTGGTATGTAGAAATGCACCCAATGAATTAAGGATACCAGCTGCAACTTTTGATGATGGTTGCTACCATCTTTGTGTCATATAAAGATGATTGCAACTGCTGGTTGCAACCACCTTTACAACCATTTTGTTTCCTTTTTTGGATTGTGACATGGAACAATACAATGAATAATACTCATTGAGCATTGATCAATATGTTTTAAATAACTGGATTAATATATATTATTTATTATTATAATTTGGTTCTTTTTATTTTTCCAAAGACAATAAAAAAAATTTATCTATAATGGTAAATTTAAGCATTTTTTTTCAAACCATTAAGGCTTTTTTTATTCATTTTATTCACTTTATTTGCTTTATTCAAATTCAGATAAAATGATTGAGTCATAATATTTCATTTGTCAATATCAATTGAAGATCTAGATTGGAAACCACATTGAAACATTCTAATAGTGTTACAATATTCAACTGCACAAAAATATAATTGTTATTTTCAGGTTTGAAAATTTGGCACTTGATACAGCATTTGATGTCTTTAGATAGTGTGCACTATCTCTTAAATGGTCAGAGTATTCTTTAATGGTAACACAAATTAAAGTTTTGATCATTCTTATTGGTCAATTTAACGATCAGCAAAGTAAAAAAAGTTAATCGACCAACTTTTAAAGAAGATTTTATAAAAACCACAAGGACAACAACTAGATTTTTATTTATAGATTAATCTCAAAGATCATCTTCGTATTAGAAAGTGATGCCCCCAGAAAAAAATTTTTATATCAGAAAAATTTTATCAGCTATCGATAGCCGATTAACCGTTTAGGGGATAATAATAAATTATTGTGACAATAAGCGCGTTCGAATTATTAATATTTGATATTTAGGTTCATAAAACACGTGACTTTTGTGTGCAGCAATTTTTTCGGGTAATTCATTGGTCGTTTTGTTTGTTTAAATTATCCTTCCCCTAATTTTCAAAAAAAAAAGGAGAATTAAATTTGAACAGCCTAATGAAGATAATAATAAAATTCTTATCTAAATATAATGACACAATTATTCATTTTGCTCATGTATCAAAATAACAATTAATGTTTCCTGTCATCCAGCAATTACAATTTCTAATTCTGTAATTATGAATAGTAATAGTGTGATGAATAAAGTAATATACAAATATAACCATTTAAAATTCATGAAACAAAATTGGAAACTATAAAAAATAAAAAAGAAAAAGAAAAATGACAATGGATCAATATTTATTACAGAAAAAAAAGTTAAGACCATAACACTGATTTCAAACAATTTCAATTATTTTCTCAATTTTTTGTTTTTTCTTTGGTTTTTTATTTTTATCATTATCTACTGATGATAATGCTTTTATTGTTGTTGCCTTATCAGGATCCATATTTGCACTCTTTCTTTTTTTCTTACTTCCAGATTTATTATTATTGTTGTTGTTGTTGTTGTTGTTGTTGTTGTTGTTGTTGTTATTATTACTATTATTATTATTGGAAGTGGTGTTTATGATGGTGGTGTTAGTATTTTGTGGTTGTGGATCTGTTGGTATTACTTTTCTGAATTGTTCAGTTAGATTTTTTGGTCTTGAAAATGATATTGAAGATTTTGACATGAACAGTCTAGTTAATGAGGTTATAAGTTGATAATATAAATAGATATGT